GAAAAAAAGTAGTGCTGCGAACGTCGGGCAGCTACCTTGCTAAACTCCGATGACTCTGCCTCTGAGCAACCAATACCGGCTACCAGGTTCAGAAATACCTGAATCTGCACACAAGGTGCAGGGAGTAAAGTGAGTACTTCCAACTCAGTGAGTAATAAAAATAAATGAAGACTGAGTAATATAAAGCCACGTAAGGCACAACATTAAGATACAAGAGGCATAACAAATCAGTGAATATAATTAAGCAGTGAAATCTCATAAACCTCTCTTAAACAGTTAAACAATATACAGGAAAGCAAATAAAAAGTAAACACATAATAACGGCCACTCAGGCACAGTAACAACAGAATCAGCCCCTCGGGCAATGTCACAGAACAATACCAGCCCCTCGGGCTATATCTCAAATCACAACGGGTACCCGCGCTCACTGGGGGTGTTCAGACTCCGGGAGGGGCCCCTTACGGCCCAAGCGCATAATCAAGCCATCTCGTGGCAACATAAACAGGCTCTCGGCCTCATATCAATATCAAGCCACCTCGTGGCGTACAATCTCAGGCCCTGGGCCTCATTATCATAATCAATATATCACTGCTGCGGCGTGCAGCCCGACCCAAATGTATCCTCACAACACAGGCCCCCGGCCTTACTCAGTCAGAATCTCATAAGCCCCTCGGGCCACAGTAAAATATGAAGCTCAGCTCAAATACCTTTGAAAATATCATTTAATGTGTTTAAATCAGAATAATATAGCTGAGTCTTTAAAATAGTAAAAATATAGTATGACTGAGCACCAGTATGAAATCAATCAGTGAGGAAAATATCATTTAAAAATCCCCTAAGGGTTCAAAGAGCTGGCAGGAAGCCCACATATGGCATTTAGCCCAAAATATAATAATATCAAACAATTAACTATCAAATACACAGTAAAATAATCATTCGGGATGGACTAAGTCACAATCCCCAGCGGTGCTCTATCCCACGCTCGTCATCTAGCGTGTAAGTCACCTCAACATAGTCGTGCGCTGTGAAATTCCGGGGTTTCATACCCTCAGGACAGCATTTAAAATCATTACTCACCTCGAACTAGCCCGAAAAGCTACTCTGCAACACGCTTGCCTCTCGAATCAACTTCCAAGTGCTCCAGATCTACCAAGTTCAGATTATTATCATCAAATTATGCTAAACGAATGAATTATTGAAAAATATCGAATTTAAGCACAAAACTCGAAATCAGTCAAAACCCGTCCCCCGGGCCTGCGTCTCGGAACTTGACAAAACTTTATACCAACGTGTTATTCATCATCTCACGAGTCTGTACATATAAAGAACTCGAAAATCGGAGTTCGCTTGACCCCTCAAATCATTCCTGAAAGGTCTCATAATCCCAAACCCGAACTCAACCTTTTTCTACTGATTTTCATGAATTAAATACTGATATTTTATTTCTTAATCACAAATAATCGAGTTTTTTAGGGTCCAAAATCCTTACCTCAATGACGTTCCCCTAAAATCCCTCTCTTAAATAATCCAAAAAGCTCCAAAGCCGAAGTCAAAAATGGTGAAATGGCTAAAATTCGCGAATGAAATAACTTAGATGCGATTGTTGGCCAGTATGTGATTTCCGCAGAAGCGGAGGAAGCATCGCATATGCGGTACCGCAGATGCGAAAAGGTCTGAGCAGAGCATATAAGTTATTTCATTCGCGAATTTTAGCCATTTCACCATTTTTGACTTCAGCTTTGGAGCTTTTTGGACGATTTAAAAGAGGGATTTCAGGGGAACGTCATTGAGGTAAGGATTTTGGACCCTAAAAAAACTCGATTATTTGTGATTAAGGAACAAAATATCAGTGTTTAATTCATGAAAATCAGTAGAAAAAGGTTGAGTTCGGGTTTGGGATTATGAGACCTTTCAGGAATGATTTGAGGGGTCAAACGAACTCCGATTTTTGAGTTATTTATATGTACGGACTCGTGAGATGATGAAGAACATTTTGGTATAAAGTTTGTCCAGTTCCGGGACGCGGGACTGGGGATGGATTTTGACTGATTTCGGGTTTTGTGCTTAAATTTGATATTTTACAATTGGAATTCATTCGTTTAGCATAATTTGATGATAAAAATCCGAACTTGGTAGATCTGGAGCACTTGGAAGTTGATTCGAGAGGCAAGCATGTTGCAGAGTAGCTTTTCGGGCTAGTTCGAGGTGAGTAATGATTTTAAATGCTATCCTGAGGGTATGAAACCCTGGAATTTCACAGCGTACGGCTATGTTGAGGTGACTTACACACTAGATGACGAGCGTGGGGTAGAGCACCACTGGGGATTGTGACTTAGTCCATCCCGAATGATTATTTTACTGTGTATTTGATAGTTAATTGTTTAATATCATTATATTTTGGACTAAATGCCATATGTGGACTTCGTGCCAGTTGTTTGAATCCTTAGGGGGTTTTTAAATGATATTTTCCTCACTAATTGGTTTCATACTGGTGCTCAGTCATACTATATTTTTACTATTTTAAAGACTCAGCTATATTATTCTGATTTAAACACATTAAATGATATTTTCAAAGGTATTTGAGCTTAGCTTCATATTTTACTGTGGCCCGAAGGGCTTATGAGATTTTGACTAAGTAAGGCCGAGGGCCTGTGTTGTGAGGATACATTTGGGTCGGGCTGCACGCCGCAATAGTGATACATTGATTATGATAATGAGGCCGAGGGCCTGAGATTGTACGCCACGAGGTGGCTTGATATTGATATGAGGCGGAGAGCCTGTTTATGATGCCACGAGATGGCTTGATTATGCGCTTGGGCCGTAAGGGGCCCCTCCCAGAGTCTGTACACCCCCAGTGAGCGCGGGTACCCATTGTGATTTGAGATATAGCCCGAGGGGCTGGTATTGTTCTGTGACATTGCCCGAGGGGTTGATTCTGTTGTTACTGTGCCTGAGGGGCAGTTATTGTGTGTTTACTTTTTAGTTGCTTTCCTGTATATTGTTTAACTGTTTAAGAGAGGTTTATGAGATTTTACTGCTTAATTATATTCACTGATTTGTTATGCCTCTTGTAGCTTAATGTTGTGCCTTACGTGGCTTTATATTACTCAGTTTTCATTTATTTTTATTACTCACTGAGTTGGAAGTACTCACTTTACTCCCTGCACCTTGTGTGCAGATTCAAGTATTCCTGAACCCGGTAGCGGGTATTGGTTGCTCAAAGGCAGAGTCATCGGAGTTTAGCAAGGTAGTTGCCCGACGTTCGCAGCACTGCTTTTTTTTTTTCTCCCTCTCGATTTCATTAGATTGTATCTAGTACATTTTAGACTCTTGTTGTATTCGGACCTTAGTAGATGCTAATGACTAGTGACGCACCGATGTCGGGCTGTGTTGATTTTTGTTTCCGCAAGTTAACTGTTAAATGCTTATTTTGGGATTTTATTTCTGATTAAAGACTTAGTAGTTATTATTTTAATTGCTTAAAGTGAGTTGGAAGTGCGTCGGCTGGCCTTGTCTTCACGAGATGCGCCATCACGACTGGGTTGGGTTTAGGGTCGTGACAAGTTGGTATCAGAGCCTAGGTTACATAGGTCTCACGAGTCATGAGCAAGTTTAGTAGAGTCTCGCGGATCGGTACGGAGATGTCTGTATTTATCCTCGAGAGGCTGCAGAACCTTTAGGAAAACTCCATATTCTTGAAATTCTTATCGTGCGTCCTTGATTCAGCTTGAAATATAACTCTTTGAACTCCTTCCACGCATTCGTATGCACGAACGAGCGCTCAATATCAGATGTGCATCTATGGCTTGTGATTCCCTAATCGAGGGGCGAGATGTGATCTCTGTGTGTTTGACGTTGGGCCAGTCTGGAGGACTTGAGGCCGGATTTTTACCTATAGCTTGAGCACCGATGTGCTGATTATGTGAGCCGTTTTTTTGAACTTATATACTCAGTAGTGCCCCTATTAGTAGAAGTGATGGCTGGATGGCTATGCGTTGGGTATGTTATGACTGCGAGATGTGATTTGGAAGCGACGAGAAGGGTCGTGACATTTGTTTAACCAAAAATTGAGTAATTCGGTCAAAGCTAATTTTAAGAAGTACTCGAGCTACTGATAATCAAGAAATTCTATATTTACTCAATGACAAGAAAGGAAGTTTAAAGTATGAAGTAGCAAAAATTGCCAATAGTAAGCAAAAGAAAGTAATTGTATTGCAATAGTAATCAGAACGTGTCTATACAAATGATATTTCTTTCCCTTTTATAGGAATCTAAAAGTACATCGTTTTTTCCCCCTTTTATGACCGAATCATTACGAGCATTAATGGCATTAATGAGACATTATAATTGGTAATCGTAACTGTTTGTGAAGATTCTGTAACATCCGGGCTCATTCATACTCACTAATTGATGATTCATGAATCTTTCCTTTTCAATGTCTTGATTCATTCCGTCGGTACCTCTTTAGGTAATGACTTTGTCCTCTCTTCCCGTGGGTGTTTTGCTCGTATCTATTACGATTTGTGCCTCTTTTAATACATCTTTCCCACTGTCACTTTCTTACTGATACACGTGTCTTGTCATATCAACCATTCACATAAATCCACGTGTAATATTTATTTTTACCAATATAGAGGCTAATTTGCCTAATAGTTAAGAATCCTAGAACTTTACTCTTAGTGCCATTCGAGGCGCCATTAGGTTAATCCAATGAAGAATTACTTTGTTTTAATTTGTTTTTGATTTGTATAATGTAAATCAGGGGTATCTTAGTCTTTTGAATTATTTATTCACTATAAAAATAATTGTTACATGTCAGTTGATCCTTTTACCCATTCTTTTAGGTACTGAGCGGAAATTATTTTTATTTTTGTTATAGGAATAAGTCACTGGGTTGTTAGCTAACATTACGCTCCTTTTGTTATTTTCCTGTCACTTGTTAAGCATACATAAAAAATATTTTCTTTTAATAAATCAGAGAATGTCCGAAACACATTTACTTCTGTGTCTTTTGTGATCTACATATTCTTTACTCTCTGTTTTCTTCTCAATTTAGTCAATTACTGCTATCTCTTTTCTCATGTTTGTTTTTTCTCTATACAAATAACCACGAATTCTTCTTCATCATCTGCATATAAGGTTAGATTACCAGTTCTTCTTCATCTTCATCTAGTGATTTCAGTTTTTTACGCCAAATATAAAACAAAAATATTTTCATATGCTTAGAACCGTTCAAATCTATTTTGAAGTGAAAAAATAGACTTGTCTACTATGTATAAAAAGTAATTTACTCTGAAGGACTCTTCGAGAGATTTTGAGATTTCAATATCAATATTCTCGTCAAACTATTTTTTTTTATATATCACATGTTTCTTACGAAGTTCAGGTTTGATTTTCATTTCAGATGCAATTTCCTTGACAGAAATCATACCAGTTGCAAATCCTTTTACCCCTTAAGCTTTTAAGACCACAAGTTTTAAAAGTCTTTTTTTTATACTCCGTGACGAGTAAAACAACCTCATCTAAATTGAAATATAGGGAATATATAATATATTAGGTGTAACAAAAAATAGGGCCCCACATCAGTTGCTTTACCTGCTTTCGGGTAGGGCCGCCCTGTCTAAGAGGGATTTCCTTTAGTTAGGAATGAAGAAAAATTGAAAAGAAAGAGGAGTATGTTAAAAAGACAAATGGCTGTCTCTGTTATATTACAAATTTTAGGATAGTTCTTGAGATTTACTCCTTATCTAATTTGTCATATCACATGTCTAATGGTCTCTTTCATTTGTTTACGAGTTTTTCCAAAATATATATTTCATATAATAGAAATACTTTGAAATGGCTGTTTAAAATAAAAGAAGAATGAGTATGTATATGCTCCAGCTTTTGTCATTTGCCACGTTTAGGTAATTAAGCGTCGTTCGTAACCAGGATGTTTTGCATATATTACAGGAAATAATTTGAGCAGAATGACAACCAATACCGAGAGCTACTCACAAAAGGAACTTGTTACTGATCATGTTTTATTGAGGTTACCTGTTAAATCACTCTTTCGATTCAAATGTGTGTGCAAAAGTTGGCATGATCTTATCAAAAGCTCAAGTTTTATCAAAAAACACTTCAATAGCGAGAGTAATCGTCTTCGCCTTATGGTTTGCAAGTTAGGTGTTAACTACAAAAAAGATCTAGGTGAAAGGTCTTTGGATATGTTAGGTGAAAGGTCTTTGGATATGTTCTTACTCAATGAGAAAATATTTGCAGGATGTATCCCTACAAATCAGAGGATTTATCGTTGCGAAGATGTTGGTGATTTCGGGTGTATTTATGGTCCAATTAATGGCATATTCTTGTTGGAGAAAGGACACTATATAGATAACGTTCGTTTTGCCTGGTGGAATCCTGCTACAAAAGAGTGCAGGCTTATTCCTCGTATACATTTTGAGGTACAACAATATTTCCAAGACAATAATCGTAGTCTTGGGATAGGTATAGACTTAGTGAATCAAGATTATAAAGTTATATGGCATCGAACATTTTGGGATGATATGACATGTGATGTATTTCCTAAGGTTTATGCTGCTGTCTATTCGACAAAGAACGATTCCTGGAAATTTTTGGAACCTGAACACTCTCACTTATGTCAAATATTTATATCGCAAAATTGTACTTATATGAATGGAGTTTATTATTGGATTAGTACAAGCCAGAGATTTTGCAACGAAGACAATGTCTACTTTATTCGAACATTTGATTTTGCAACTGAATTGTTTGGGGAAATGACAGGACCACCAATTCCAGGCGAACACTGGGCGTCTCTAATGTTACGCGGTGGTTCTCTTGCAGCTATGTCTTGTGATGGTGTTACAAAGGCTATGACAGCCAATTATGGTATATGGGTAAGGATTGGAGAGAATAATTGGATCAAAGTTTATACAGTTAATCCTCCTATACCTTCGCATTACCCTATTGGAATATGGGAGTATGATAAGTTCTTATTTGAACTTGAACAAACTTGCAGGTTGGTGTTTTATGACCAGACAGTTAAAGAAGTTACAAGTCTTGGATTTCATTTCTATGATTTAAGTTGTAGCTCCAATTGGGCTATTAGTTACAAGGAGAGCCTTGTTCCAATAAAGAATGAAAAGCCGACTGAGAAGGATAATGCTGAATACTTCTTCACCAAGTATTAAAATAAGCACGAGATGTGAGTATCAGGCCTCTAGTAAGTAATAGACAGAGTACGAAAAGGTCAAATCTTTAATGATTGAGTTGTGAAAATTTGTGGATAGATATTTAATATCTGAATCATATTCTTTCTGGTTAAACAATCTTTCTAGTTACTCTTGAACAATTGGGAGAATAGACAAGATTATGCTTTCGGGGATAATATATGTTCGGACTACGGCTTTAGAGTCAAATCAGTACCTCTTAAAGGGAAAAATATGAGGATGACATTGTAAATGTAGCGATCAACTGTCTATTTCGACATGTGCATATATATGCATGTTTTTCTTCTTTTCTTTTTTCTTCTCATTTTTAGTTTTATTTTCCTTTCTCAGGAAAAAAATAAAAAATAAAAAATAAAAAATAAAAAAATGAGAGATTCAGACGGTGTCCATTCCAGACGGAACTGGGAACTGATACCAACTTGCTTAAAGGATAAAGGAGCGTCGGGCGAAATAAGATTTTCCAATCGAATAACATTGTCGATATACCATATCCTCTTGATAATTGGATTTGGATGCACTTTTAGTAAACTCATAAATGGAAAGGAGAATTTCTTAAAATTTGAATCTATGCAAAAATTTATTAGAAAAGCATGCACGATACTTCCCTAAAATTACAATCCTATCTAATATAATGTGCTTTTCAACAAGTGAATCATATATAAATCAGTTTCAATCACAATAATAATGAGTAAAAACGATGCTTATTTTACCAATCTAGAATTAAATATACTTTAATTGTGAGAATGAGAGACTGAGATGTCATTAGAATAAAGGAATTTGGAAAATAGAGAGAGGACAGGAAAGTGAAGAAAAGGGGGTAAACATAAAGGATGGGAAAAGCTGTAACACCCCGTAAAATTAACCGGTTGTGGATGCATTAAATGAGTATTAACGTGATGGTAATCAAATTGTTATGATAGTAAGTGTACGAGGCATATCATAAGTTATTTAGGGTCCAAGGACAGACCTATGTCTAAGCCAAGTTGGAAAACTACATGAAAGACTAAAATTCCAAATGGGTAAGCACAAGATCATACTTTCGACGAGCATATCTACAGATATATAAGGTGTTAGATGAAGAAAAGCCTATCAAATGAAAGGCCTTTGAGTCTAGTTTCTAACGCTTCAAACCGTTCGTCATTTGGACTTTCCTACAAGAAGTTATGACCAAATTACCAAAGGCTGGCGGAGGACAGCGCGGATGCGAAGCATCGGAGGCCGCGTCCAAAAAGAGGAGCTGGCAGTGAAGTGCTGCCATAACATCCAGGTCAGCATCCGAGCTCCTGAGAGGAGTGAAGTGGGGATGCGAAGCATCTGAGGCTGCATCCGAAATTTGGGCCTATAAACACAATTTCGGGGTCCATCTTCCCCCATTTCTTTTGGACGACTTTTAGGGTTTTCCTCCACTCTCTCAAGACCTCCAACCCCTCCCATCTTCAAGGTAAGCAGACCTCATTATCTTGGTGTGAAATTCCATAATTTTTACACTAATAGTGATGAAATCTATACATAAAATACTTGGATCTTCAAGAGATTTCTTCAAGAACGCAAAGGAGGGTTTTGCAAGATTTTTTCCAAAAAGGTAATCCTACACCCTTAGACTTACATGTATGAATTTATTAAGGGAATATGAGTATGAATAAGTATTGGAACTCTTGGTATGGTGATTGTAAGCCATAAGTTCCCTATTTAATTACATAACTATTGTAGAGATTGAAAGATGATTAATTGATGGAATTTTGTTGGTTGGGTGTGGATGGATGGTCATATATGTGATGTTGGAAGTTATAAATTGGTTAATCATGATGGTGGGATAAATTGTTGATGAATGGTGGTAGTTGGATGAACTAATTATATGGTGATGAGATGTAGAGATTTATGCCTACAAGGTGTTTGATAATATGCCTAAATGGCTTAAGTTATGGAATTTGTTACTAATATTGGTTCCAATGGATATTGCTATTGTAGATTGAAAGTTCTTAGTATTGTGGATCATTGTAGTTGCACTAAGGGGCGAAATTGAGGTATGTGAGGCTAACTCTCTTTACGTTTGGGAATGTCTATGATTCTCCCTACCTCCCATTCATTATGACTATTACTAGTTTCCTCAGAAAGTAATTATGTCTTAGTTCCGTGAATATTCGTAGAACTTCTATTCTCTAGCTTCATAACTCATTCATGACCTTCATTCTAAACGTTGTGAAATTAGTGAATAATTAATATAGACTTGGGTTTGATGCCCATGAGTCTCAGTCTAGATTACTAAGCATGTCATAAACAGTTGAAGTTTCAGTTTTCATAATCAGTTCATGAATACATGTCTCAGTCCAGTTCTATTTAGCATTCGAGTATCGTGTAACTCAATATGATTCAGTATTTCAGTATTATTATTTCAGTATGATTCTCAGTTCCTGAATGTTGAACACCTGTATTTGGGCCTAATGCCGTAGTTTATATGCTTTATGCATGTTTGGGCCTAAGGCCGTAGTTTATGCTTTATGCATGTTTGGGCCTGAGGTCGTAGTTGATGCTTTATGCATTTTTGGGCCTGAGGCCGTAGTTATGTATACGTATACTTGGGCCTGAGGCCGTAGCTTGTGCACATATATATTGGGCCCGAGGCCGTAGCTTATTCAGATAAACAGGTTGTTCATCATTCAGAAGAGGGAGTATTCATATCCTTACTTCCTTTGTTTAGTTCAACTATTAGTTATCATTTTAGTTACCAGTTATCAAGTTATCAGTTCAGTTATCATTTCAGTTTCAATTTCAATAGTTATCATTTCAGTTATCAATTATCAATTCTCAGTTATCAGCTTAGTTGTTACGCCCCAAACCGAGGGACATGACCGGCGCCCGAACGGGTAGTCCCAGTCAAGCGGACCTGGGTGCCTTTCCTATCCCACGCGTTACCCCGTATTTTTCATTGTTCATTAATCACAGGAAATAGCCATTTATACTTAAAATACCTTTTCACAAAACATACATAACATACATGGTTACTTAATGAGGTTTACAACTTACATCGCCCAACATACAAAATACATATTTACATAAGTTCTCAACCCACATTTACTGTCTACGGAGCCTCTAAGGATACAAAAGGATAATACAATACTTGTCGGTAACAAGGCTCCGGCTATACCTTACACAAATATTAAAACGTGACTCCGAAATAAAAGCGGCATGAGCCACGCAGGGCCCCGAGAGGAAAGGGGCTCACCAATTCAGCTGACGGGAAGTGAAGGGGAGCTACGGTCGGTGGACTGGAGTACCTGCTATGGATCCACCTACAATCATAACACGAATGTAGCGCCCCCGGCAAAAGGGACGTCAGTACATTTGAATTGTACTGGTATGTATGAACAAACTTTGCCCTAAGTAAACTCAAACCATACACAAGTAACAAGTAATAATGGAATCAACAATCAAATACACATGAAAGGAAACAATCAAGCCAAACAAGTTTACAATCTCTCCATTTCCCCTTCAACATTTTTCACATCAATGATTTCACAACTTTCTCATATTTTTATTTCAATAGTGATTTCGATCACTTTCCACCCTTATTACCTCGGCCACCCTTATCACCACAACCCACACCTTATTACTTCGTGTTGCGGCGCGCAACCCGATCCCACCGAACAATCACAATTCACAAACAACACAACAACAACAACAATTCACAAAGAACAACAACAACATTTCTCAAGAAATAACAACAGCAATTCACAAAGAATTTCCATAACCCTCAATACCATTTCCATCATATTCAACAACTCATATGCATTTTATGTCACAACAATGATTGCCCATGACAAGCCATATATGTTATTACCACAGTTGTTCAAATTGCATCATTTACGATTTTCTTCCATCATTTGTTTCTCTGCTCTTACCACATAACACTTTCACAATCACACATTTGGTTTATTGCCAATTACTTACACCATTATATCGGGAGACTTAACCACGAACACTCAAATCATACCAATCACAAGAATTTCACACATAATCCACGTAGATATCACATACCAAATATTCGTACACCAAACAAGGTGATTTTACAAAGGTCAAAGTTAGCCATACATACCTGGAGCCGAATTCCCTTTTAACTTCTATTTTCAATTCACCAAATAGTCTAGCAACGTCAATCTAGTGCACAAGTTAACACATATGACTTAGAA